TTGTCGCGGGCGTCACGGGAAACGGCCGTGGGGGCAGGGGAGCGGGACCCGGTCGCCATCGGCACCGTCAGAGGCCGCGGGGTGGGCGGGGGTTCGGGGACCTCGATGACGAGACGATGCCGCAGGATGTCTCTGGTGGTCTGGGCATCCAGGGGCGAGCTGCGTGGGCCGAGGACCGCCCCCCCCGGCCGGGGAACGGGCAGTCGCTGAGCTGGGGGAGAAAACCTCCGGCCCCTCCCCTGCCCCCGACGCATCCCCCGGGCCTCTCGTCTCCGCCTGGCCGTGAGGAGGCCCTGGTGGCAGGGACGGAGGCCTCAGCCCTGTGCTTGGTCAGTGCAGACAGTAGGACGGCAGCGTTGGGTGCCCATGGCACCCCACCGTGACCCCAGGAAAAGTCAGGAGTCGGGGGGTGTCAGTGTGTTTCCAGGCTGGACAGTGTACAAGGGCCCCCACCCGTCCAGCCCTGGTGCCGACGGCGGCCACCTTCCGAGGTGGATCAGCTGCACCTGCTCCGCCGGCCAGGGCTCAGCGTGCTGTCCCGCGGCGCTGTGGGCGGGCGGAGGCCACGCGACGAACATGGGCGGGCGGTTCTCAGCGCTCAGTCGTCGGCTCACTTGCTTTTCCCTGTGGGCCGGTTTTCGCTGCCGGCGAGAGGGCGGGGTGAGTTGTTGCACCGGGAACTCAGAAGGTCCCGCTGGGCTGCCCGAAGGCCAGGGCCGTGGCCACCCTGCACTGGCTCCTGGCCTCTTCCTGTGGGGTCGCAGCTGCCGTGTGCCCAGGCGATGGGCCCAGCACCAGGGCTGGGCTGTGCGCACGCCACGAAGTGCCACGGGAAGCTGTGGCCGTGTGGGGTGGTGCTACTGGTCGTGGGTGTGTCCGCCCTGCTGGCCGGGACGCTGACGGACCTCCACCGCAGGGCCTGTGCAGGGGCAGTGTGGCCCCACTGGGGATCCGTGTCCCCGCACCTGGGGCTGGGGACACCTTCCTCCTGTGCGAGGACCCTGCAGGCAGCCCCCTCCCCCGCCTCCCCCTGCCCCGGGAGCCCTCGGGGCCGCGGTCCGGCTGGCCGGTTCACAGTGGGACAAGCGCCCCCCTCGGCCTCACAGTGGAGCATTTGTGTGCGTTTGCAGAGAGCGGAGAGTGGGGTGCCGCGCCGCCCCCCCAGCGCAGAGCGACGGCACACACACGCACCTGCGCACACACACACTTGTGCGCACACACACACCTGTGTCCACAGCTGCGAGGGTCTCTCCCCTCCCTGAACTCTGCCTCTCAGGAGCCTTCTTGCTGCCCCCCTGGGGTCGGTGGCCTTGCCCAGGGGGGCCGGGCGAGGGCAGGCGCGCAGGGTCCCCTGCGGCCGTTCCCTGACCGGCGGAGACAGGGCACACGGGTGCTGGGCAGGCGGGGTGTCGAGGCTGCAGAAACCGGGGCCTCACCCGGGCGGCGAGTCCCAGGCACGGGGGGGGGGGGGCAGCTTCTCCCGCCTCGGCCGCTTCGGCCTGGGGACAGCACGCTGGTCCCCTGCTCGTCCCGAGACCCTGCGCCCCCGGCCCGGCTCTGAGTCGGGCGGCCGCCTGGCTGAGGCCGACCCAGGGAGCGCACCTGCCCACGGCCCCACGGGTGGCGGCGCCCATTGAGGGGACTGAGATGACCGGCTGTGCGGCCCCGCCCCACGGGGGGGCTCCACCCACCATCGAGGGCCGCGCTCCTGGGGCGTCCCCCGGTGGGCCGGCCCGCTCTGCGGAGTCCTGGGTCCTCCCGTGGGCCCCAGGATGGCCGGTCTCCGTCTCCTGGTGCCCGTGGGTGCGTGGACTGAAAGCCCTGGGCTGTGGCAGGGAGGCGGGCGTCTCTCTGGCCCTTTCCGGGCCCCCAGGTGGGAACCACAGGCCCCTCCCACTCTGACAAGTTCAGACTGCGGCCGTCCATGGACGTCTGCGGAGCTGAGTTTGGGTCCCGTGAGGTTGGGGCTCCCCCTTTTATAATGTGTTAGCGTTGATTTGAGCGAGAGAGGGAGAGAAGGGGGGGAGAGAGGGAGACATGGATCTGTGGCCCCTCTCCCTGACGCACCGTCAGCTGATGCCCCAGTGTGCCCGGGCTGGCGACAGAGCCCGCAGCCTTGGAGGGTCAGCAGGTCGCTCTCACGGCCGCGGTGCCCGGCCGGGGCGGGGCTCACCGCCTTTCATGGGCTGTGCCTCTAAGGTCTGTTCATTCAGTCACCCACTCGGTGGGCAGACACCGAACCCTCGAGACCCAGGCAGCCGGGACCCTGCCCTCACGGGCGAGGGGGGACGCCCAGCCTCTCCCCGGCGCTAGGGGCTGTGAGGAGCAGAGTGAGGGGTGCTCTGGAGAGAGGCGGCGGCGTCTGCCTCGGACAAGGGCGCACAGAGGGCCTTGTGGGCGGGGCTGTGTGAGCCCAGGCCTGCGTGAGGAGGAGCAGCCGGCTGGCCTTCTTCTCACGTTCTAGAACATTCTGTGTTTGGCACTGGCACTTGACCAGTTGCTTGAAGGTTTTTTTTAAAAAACGCTTCGTTGCTTGAAAAACACTTCTCAGTGGTGGAAGGATTCCGTACCCAGACCTAACTTGCAGGCTCCCTCGTTCATTACTTGACCCGCCGAGCCGCCCCTCGCCCGGGTGCACGGCGCAGGTGGGCGGCCTCCCCCGTCCGGGTCCGGCCCGAGCTGTAGGCTTGCGGGACCACACATTCGGCCCCCACTCCCCCTGCTGAACTGGCCGCAACCTGAACATGGCCCGCCCTCCTGGATTCATGGCTTCTGAGCCGGCCAACTGGGCAGCCTTGGGAGTGCGCCAGCCGCGTCCAGAGCTGTCGGTGGGACTCGGAGCCCCACACGGCCTCGGGGCCACGATCTGCGTTGGCTCAGGAGAGGAGCCCGCCCGGCTGGAGGGGCTTGGAGCTGGAGAAGGGGCTCCAGACACGGCCCCGGGGCTGCGGGAGTCCTGCCTGGACACCTCCGCCCTTGGGCCTGTCCCTCTGTGCTGGCCAGCGGGTGCCCGGAGTACCCGGGCCAGCCAGCCCCGCCTTCAGGTGCCAGCCCCGGGCTCCCGGCAAGCCCCAGGCTCCCAGCAAGCCTGTGGAGTGAGTGCAAGAATGTCCCACAGCAATGACTCCGTTCTGAGCAGTCTCCAAAGTGGGCCTCTCCAATCTGACTGCCTGCCACCAGCAACAGCAGGAAAAGACGGCCAGTGGGGAGGCTCCTTTGACGGCTGGTGCCCGTGTGCTGTGTGCGCGAGTGTGGCCAGCTGTGCTGCGCCGTCAGCCACAGACACCGCGGCCTGCACCCCGGTCGCGCCTTCTCTCTGCCCCGGAAACAGCCGCCGGGTCGGCCTCTCCCCTCCCGTGCACAGCGGCCCCCGGCCCCCTGCTCTGGCGGGGGACGCCAGTGCCCCCTTGGAGACCCTCCACGCCATGTGCAGTCTGTCTGGTGGGAGTGAGGTGGGCCGCAGACCCCGCTGGGCTGCGTGTGCTTCGCCCACACTTGAGCTTGGGCCCCGAGGTCCCCCCGGGGAATTGGGTGGCCCAGGAATCAGTCCCGGCTGGAGTGAAGGGCTGCCCGGGCCCGCCCGGCCGGCTGAGACGGCCGCACACCGGGCTGCACAGAGGACGGATGTGCGGCGTCTCTCCGACCGCAGGACACAGGCCTGGGCTCCCCCGGGGCGGGGGCAGAAGACGGCTCCGGAGGTAGAAGGGCCCCAGGCGTGGGCTCCTGGCCTTTCCGAGCTGAGCTCCCCACCAGCTGGAGGGGACAGCGAGGACATCACCGACAATTACGCGGGCCAGCTCCGAGCGCCAGTGTTTAACAAACAGCTTTGAGTTCTAATTTCCTGCCAAGCACATTCTGCAGGTACAATTTGTACTCATTACTGTGTATCGGGAAAGTTATTAAAAACACTCCGGCTTGGTGAGACTTCCTACGGCACCTTCCCCGGACTTTAATTGGTCTTTATCTAGTTCCCTAAGAGGTCTTTTTAAGCCCCAAGGACAGTCCTGGCCTCCTCGGGTGTCGCGCCCGGGAGGGACAGGGCGGAGGCGTCCTTCTGCGGCGGCAGCCCTGGGCCCCGCCCAGATTGGGACCCTCGGGATAATCCGCCACGGTTCCGTCGGGAGATAATTCATACTTCCGTGGATGGGCACAGTTACCAAATGACAAAATAACAGTGTTTCGTAACAGAAGGGTTAAATCTTAATCTCCGAGGTTTGCAAAGCTGCTACTCGCAGTCTCCTTAAAATTTAATATACCTCGTTAATGCTTCCTTGCAAACACTGAAGGATTTTTATGATTATAATCATGTGTTACAGCACCTAGTACTGTTTCTAAGCAGCATACTAATCAGCTTAATGAGATATTACTGCACTTTTTGTTGACTAAAGCAAAATCCCTTTTATTGTTCTAAAGCCTGTCCTTTACTTTATTTTTTCCCAAAACATTATCTTGTTTTATTACGTATCAGTAAATATCATGCCATTGGGTGGTGCTTTTTTTTTTTTTTTTTGCCAAAACATAAAATAATCTCTTTTATCTCAGAGTGGCGAACGGGGCGCATGTGGGTTCTGGAAACAAAAGTTCCGAGTGAGTGTGTTTGGTGTTGCGGTGACAACCCTTCTGCGCCAAGGCCAACTTCCAACCCGGCCTGCAGGGGAGGGTGCCGCGGGGTGGGGGCGGGGAGACGACCACGTACACCCCGGATTTGTTATAAGGTGTTGGAAGTGGTAAAACATTAATAATTTAAGTGCGAATGAATAATTGCAGTCAGCAAATAGAAAATACAAGGAAGACGATCTATCGCCAAAACAAATGGGAGGACCAAAGCCATATTGCATAATTGGCATTTAATAATTCATTTTTTTATTATTGTTTTCGACTGTAATTCCTCGGCCTCGCGAGGCGTAGGTAAGGCGCGACATGCAAATGCGCGCCCGCGGAGGCTGGCGCTTCCCCGCGCCCGGTTCCGGCCCCGATCTGAACTCTCTCTCCGTTTGCAGGGATGGAAGACGCCAGCCTGTGCCTGGGCGTGTCCTCGGGGGCGGCGGACGCGGAGCCCCGGCGGAGCGGCCCCGTCCTCAACGGCCAGTATGCCATGAGTCAGAAGCTGCACCAGATCACCGCGCAGCTCAGCCATGCCTTCCCCGAGCGGCACCCGCGGCCCGGCGCGGAGGACAAGCCGCCCGCGGCCCTGGACGACAAGGCCCACGTGCCCATGAGCGGCCAGCCCATGGGCAGCCCGATGGCGCTGCTGGCCAGCCCGCTGGGCCGCGACGTGGACACCAGCCTCAACGGGCGCGTGGACCTGCAGCAGTTCCTCAACGGGCAGAACCTGGGCATCATGTCGCAGATGAGCGACATCGAGGACGACGCGCGCAAGAACCGCAAGTACCCGTGCCCGCTGTGCGGCAAGCGCTTCCGCTTCAACAGCATCCTGTCTCTGCACATGCGCACGCACACCGGCGAGAAGCCCTTCAAGTGCCCCTACTGCGACCACCGGGCGGCGCAGAAGGGCAACCTCAAGATCCACCTGCGCACCCACAAGCTGGGCAACCTGGGCAAGGGGCGGGGGCGCGTGCGCGAGGAGAACCGCCTGCTGCACGAGCTGGAGGAGCGCGCCATCCTGCGCGACAAGCAGCTGAGGAGCGGCCTGCCGCCGCCGCGGCCGGACCTCAAGCCCGCGCCGCACGCGCAGCCCGCGCCGCCCGCCGCCGCCTGCCACCTGGCGCCCCCTGCCGCGCCCGGCGCGCCAGACGCCGCCCGCCCCGCGCCCTCGCCCAAGCCGGCGGGCGGCGCGCAGGACGACGCGGTGGCCCCCGCCGCCGGCTTCCGCTGCACCTTCTGCAAGGGCAAGTTCAAGAAGCGCGAGGAGCTGGACCGCCACATCCGCATCCTGCACAAGCCCTACAAGTGCACGCTGTGCGACTTCGCCGCCTCGCAGGAGGAGGAGCTCATCAGCCACGTGGAGAAGGCGCACATCACGGCCGAGTCGGCGCAGGGCCAGGGCCCCGGCGGCGGCGGCGAGCAGGCGGCCAACGAGTTCCGCTGCGAGGTGTGCGGGCAGGTGTTCAGCCAGGCCTGGTTCCTCAAGGGCCACATGCGCAAGCACAAGGACTCGTTCGAGCACTGCTGCCAGATCTGCGGCCGGCGCTTCAAGGAGCCCTGGTTCCTCAAGAACCACATGAAGGTGCACCTCAACAAGCTGTCCGTGAAGAACAAGGCCCCCGGCGACGCGGAGGGGCCGGCGCCGCTGGGCGGCATGTCCCAGGAGACCCACGCCAACCTGTACTCCAGGTACCTGTCCTGCCTGCAGGGCGGCTTCCTGGCCCCGGACAAGGCCGGCCTGAGCGAGCCCGGCCAGCTCTACGGCAAGGGGGACCTGCCCCTGAAGGACAAGGAGGCCCTGGGCAAGCTGCTGTCCCCGCTGGCCGGCGTGGCCCACGGCGTCCCCGAGGGCGACAAGCACTCCCTCCTGGGCTGCCTGAGCCTGGTGCCGCCGCTGAAGTCCAGCTGCATCGAGCGCTTGCAGGCGGCGGCCAAGGCGGCGGAGATGGACCCGGTGAACAGTTACCAAGCCTGGCAGCTCATGGCCAGGGGCGTGGCCGTGGACCACGGCTTCCTGTCGAAGGAGCGGCCGCTGCAGCGCGGCCAGGAGGACGCGCTGGCCCATGTGGGGGTCGCGTTCGACAAGGAGAAGCGTGAGTACGTGTTCGTGGGGGCGGATGGCTCCAAGCAGAAGATGCCGGCGGATCTGGTCCACGGCGCGAAGGCGGCCAGCCAGAGAGACCTGCCGGCGAAGCTGGACCCCCTGGAGGGCGGCCGGGAGTTCCTGCCGCACGGGCTGAGCCCGGCGCTGGACTACCCCCTGCAGGGCCCCGGCGGCCTGAAGGAGAAGCCCACCGAGTGCCCCGACTGCGGCCGCGTCTTCCGCACCTACCACCAGGTGGTCGTGCACTCCCGCGTGCACAAGCGGGACCGCAGGGCCGAGGAGGACGGGCCGCACGCGGGCCTGGAGGAGCGGCGCGGCTCGGGCAGCGACCAGGAGTCCCAGTCGGTGAGCCGCTCCACCACGCCGGGCTCCTCCAACGTCACCGAGGAGAGCGGGGCCGGCGGCGGGCTCTCCCAGACCGGGAGCGCGCAGGAGGACAGCCCGCACCCCTCCTCGCCCTCGTCCTCAGGTGGGTCGCCGGGGCGGGCGGGGGAGGGGCCGCTCTGCTCTGCCCGCGTGCCTCTCAGTGGGAGCGGGGGGTGGGGGGGGTGGGGGGGTGGGCAGGGCCTGTGCTGCTCTTCGAGGTCAGGTCCAAGGTCACCCGGCTGGTTGGGGTGTGAGGCCCTGGCCTTTTGGCCCTGCCTCAGAGGAAGGCTGTGCTTCCGTGCCATGGGCCTTCCCTTGGGCACCAGCTCCCGAGAAGGTCAGCTGGCCCTCCTTGCACGCGGCAGGGTGGCCAGGGGGCAGGGCTGGTTGTGCGTGCGGCGTGCCCACCCTTCCCTGTGAGTGCCTGCCCGCCCGCCCCACCTGGTACTCTGACCCGTAGGCCACCCCCTCCTGCCCGGAGCCTGGGAGCTGGCGTCCTGCCCCCTCCGTGGGGGATGGGAAACTGTAAGGTCAGACCTGCACTGTCCACCCCCCCGCCCCCGGGTGCATTCCCGTGATCCTCGCAGGTGGGCCCCCCGGGCTGCCCTCCCCGGATCACACACCCGCGCCGGGTTCCCGTCCAGGAGGACAGCTCGGCTGCCCGGCCAGGGCCCTCTGCCGGTGTGGACGGGCCCGGAGCTGCAGCACCCACATGCGCGCGGCCGTGCGTCTTAGAATGCGCTGCGTTCCAGGGGCGCTATTCAGCTTTGGGGTCTAAAATAGCAAAGCAGAAAATCTGTCATCACGTCTGGGAAACGCTGACGCTTCCTGGCCCCACGTGGGGGAGGAAAAAAAACACAAAACACCTCCCCAGCCGGAGACGGGACACGAGGGCCACCGAGCCGCAGGTGAGTCCCCGCCACTGCCGCCCCCGCCCCTCCCCCGGCAGAACCCCCCCAATGGAGAGCGAAGGGAAAGTTCCGTCCCCGAGCCCTTTGGAAAGAAAGCATCTCGCTAAGGCCACAGTCGTCCCGCAGCCTGACGGCAGAGGAAGTCGCGCCGTAACAAATGCCCTGTAACTAATGGCAACGTCGATTCCCGAGATCAGCCATGAAGCCTCGACAGTGAGAGACGGTCCGAGGCACCTCCAGGCCCCGGCCGCCTGGCCCGCAGGCGCGCGGTGGAGGGACCTCGGCAGAAAGTTCTGCCTCTGGTTCCCCCGCGTCCCCCCCTCTTCGGGGCTGCGGCAGCTCTTTCGGGACGGGGAGGGGGGGCCCGGTTGGCGGCCGCCGTTGTTAAGCGGATGCAGGCTTCGTTCTGTCGTTACTGTCATGCTTCAGGATAACGCTGCTTCCAGGGCGAAATCAGTGGGAGAATAAAGTGGGAGCCTGCTGGCTTATTACAGACCAGTAAAGAGTGGTTAAGACATAAATCTGAGCCGCACATTCCAGAGATTCCGATAGCACTTAATGCCGCTGCTTAAATACCCATGAAACACGCTGTCTGCTCCGCGGCGCTGGACGCGGCGTGATTTATCTCCGGTGCGACGTCGGAGGAGTCGTGCGGGACCCAGAGCGCCTGGGGGGGGCGCACGGCCGCGTCTCGGAGTGACCGCTGTCCGGGACAGATGTGGCGCAGGGCAGGCCTTTCGAGCTCGCTGCCCGAGGGCGCTGGGGACGGGCCCGGGGTGCCAGGCGTCCCTCTGTCCCCAGGGGCTGTTTCTGGCCTCCCACGGAGAGGCCCCCTGTCTGAGGGCTGCGGTCCCGCTGCTTTGGGATGGGGGGGCCTTCCGGGGGACCTGGCGCAGAGCGCACCCCGGCTGTCCTGAGTGGGCGGCGTGCACGCTGACAGATTGCCAGCCCCGTCCCCGCCCGCTGACACGCGGGGGGGCTTGCGGAATGTTCCGGCACCACATGCTCGGCGCTATTTCTGTCGTGCTCCCCTGGTTTTCTCACCTTCTGGCCGAGCGGTAGCCTCGCACTGCTCCTCCCTGCGGTTTCCACGTCTCGAAATACTCTCGGAAAAAAAAAAAGAGAGAGAAAACCCTGAAAAACCCACGGGCTGGCGGACTCGAAGGGGAGTCGCGCTTGAGCTGAGGTCGTCGCCTGACTTGTGTGTCCCTCGTGGGGCTGCTTCCCGTCGTGGAGACTGGACTCTTCACTTCTGGGTGACTTCGCTGTCGTCTTCACATTCACATGAGACCCTTTCATAGTTTTCTGGCCCGGGAGCAAAACCGGCTGGCCTGCCATCCGCAGGGCCCGAGCCAGCTCCCTGGTGGGGCGCGCGGGCGGGCGGGTTTGCCTGGGATTAGCGGCCTAACTTAACCCCATCGGGGTCGCCTTCCCCGTGACCCCCGACGAGTGGGCCTCGGACAGAGTGCGGTGAGCGTGCTCATCTAAACAGAAGTTGCGGCACCGTGGGTCTTCTGTGCTGACCTGGGAGAGAGAAAACCCAGGAGGTGACGGGGAGAGAGAGGCAGAGTCTTCCAGCCCCCGAGGAGAGAGCGCGGCACTGTGTTGAGGCTTCTGTTAAGAAGTGAGCGCCCACCACGGCGCCGCATCCCTCAGGCTGCCTAACAATGTCGCAAAACTTAATTTCCATCACGCGATTCTTTTCTTGTCGAAAACTGGGTCAGTAGGGCCTGAGAAACTATTTTTTCAGATCTTAACCAGTGAATTCTTCTTTATAAATCGCTGCTCTTAACATGATAGCGGCTCTGAATTCATCATAAAAACCCCTTTTACAGGGAGCCTCTCAGAGCAGATCTCCAGAAGGAGGCTCACAATAAGCAGAGAGGCAGCCTTTGTTATCTGATGCGATTCTCCGCGAGGACCGGGAGCGGGGCGGCTGTGGAAAAACGTCTTGCTCAGACCGAGACGCAGAAAGGGTCAAGTTTGCAATCAAACAGTTATTGCCGAGATGGGCGACTGCCACTGGCCGGGCTAATGCGGGTGCAGCTGTTTGTTATGTGAGCAGAAGAATGTTTGAGTCAGTGAGCATGTGAAAATGATCGCAGTGAACCGGAAAATGTGTTTGTTCTCGGGCTCTCCAAACCGCTGAGAACCGGGCTTCGGAGCAGCGGCGAGGACCGGGGGCCCCGACGCGCGGAGGGACCGCGGCTTCTCGCCGAGAAGGGACACGGCCTCTGCCAGCCCCCGTCCCGGCTCTGCCCTCCGTTTCTGCCGTGGACGGTGCGACCCGCCGATCGTCCCCACACCCCCACTACACTCCCGTCGGCGTCCGAGGCAAAGGGAAGAGATCTGGAGGTGGCAGCTTCCCAGTTGCACTTTTGCGGGACAGTGCAGGCGTGGGCGGCTGTGTTGGGGTCCCCTCACCGCTGGCCGGCGTGCCCACGCGCAGAGGGCGCCCCGAAACCCCAGCCGAGCCCCTGCTGGGGCCTGAGCACCGCACGGAGCCGGACGACGGCCCAGCCCCCGCGCCCTTCAGTTTGGCTCTGGACAGTGCGCCCAGGAGCGTCACAACGCAGCGTGCTGAGAAGCAGCGCCGCTCCTCACCTCCAACAGGGCGGCGCCTGTCCGCCGAGGGGCTGGCTGACGTGTTGGTGGAGGGGGGGTCATGGGACCCCGACCCCTGTTCGTTAAAGAAGGCCGGTAGGCTCCATGGGCAGTGGAGAGCCAGGGAGAGGTGCGGACAGGAAGATGTCGTTAACCCCTGGCGCTGCCCGTGAGGACTGTGAGGTGGGCAAGGACTGTTTGGTCAGCGGGGCTGGAGCCCAGCAGGGTCTCCCGCGTGGGCTGAGCAGCCTGCCTGCCACGCGGGGCCTGTCCTAGGCAGGTCCCTCGACCGCGGCCTGGCAGGCCTGCACCCGGGGCTGCCTCGGTTTCCAGCGGCCGGGGAGTGACGGGATCGATTTCCCTTCTTTTCCACCTCTTTTTCTCACGTGGCTCCTCCTCCTGCCTGCCGCCTCTCTCTCTCTCTCTCACACACACACACACACACACACACACACACACCCAGGGCCCCAAAGAAGGGGAAAAAAAATAGAAAAAAAAAACACCAGAAAAAATTTAAGTCTGAGGATTAAGATCTTCATTTTTTTTTTTTTTGCTTGTGCATTCCAATTGTTCTTAAAATATTTGGCAATGTCAATTAGTAACTGAGCAGAGCTAGCTGATGAACACAATTTTCCAGTAGACTGAGCACCCTATTGTTGCCGAGCGAGCAGCAGATTTCTGAGGTCATTATCATTCGCTGGTTGCTTGGCCCAGCTGCTTCCTGCAGCAAAAGCCAAACTTTCTGCTGCAGCCGGGGGACGCGGCAGCAACAGGGGGCCGGGGGCGCGGGCTGGCAGCCCGGCCCTGGCCCCCGCCCGGGCGCTGGGGGAGGAGGTGGAAGTTCCCCAGGTGGCTCCGGGGAAGCTGCGCCCTCAGGCTTCTCCCTCCGCGCACCTCCCCCCACCCCCGAGGGGATGAAAGGGCCGGGGGGGACCCCCGTGGGCGCGGTGGAGACTCATCTCGCCGCGGAGCGGAACTTTGGAAGACGGCAGCTGCTGACAAATGTACTTAAAAACTGTGAGCCCTGCCGAAGACCAGGCAGTGCCCTCCCGCAGACAGACTCCTTTATTTTTATTAAAAACAGGAAAGAAAAAAAAAGGAGTTATTTTTTAAGAGATAAAATTAGTAACTTCGGAGTGCTCCGCTGGGGAAGACACACAGGGACGACTTCATCTTCCAGAGGGACCTTCTGAGCAGACACTGGCCTGCGGTTCGGCGTGACGTCCAGTGTCGTGGGGAGGGCCCTGCCCGCCCTGGCCCCTCGGCCGCCCCCACGCGGGAGCCAGTGCAGGGAGGTGAAAAGCTGCACTCTTTTGAAGCTCAGCTGTCGGACCCGAGCGCCACAAGCAGCCCCTCGTCTCGCCGGCGTGGATGCATGTGCCAGCACCCCATGTTTGTGGGGGAGGGGTGCAGCACGGGGGGCTGGGCCGAGGCTGCCGCTGGCTGGCTGGCTCCTGGGGCGGGTCGGGCGGGGACTGGTCAGCAGGCCGGGGGACTCCCTCTGGCCTGCACCCTCCCTCCGGCCTGCGGGTGGTCTGCCCGCTGGGGCACAGGCTGCTGCCCGGCTCAAGGGCCCACCGTCCAAGTC